AGGTGCCAGCCGATAGAAATCCCCATGTGCAAGGATATCGGGTACAACATGACGAGGATGCCTAACCTGATGGGACATGAAAACCAAAGGGAAGCTGCCATTCAGCTGCACGAGTTTGCCCCCTTGGTGGAGTACGGTTGCCACAGCCATCTGAAATTTTTCCTCTGCTCCCTCTATGCCCCTATGTGCACGGAGCAGGTTTCTACACCAATCCCAGCCTGCAGGGTTATGTGCGAGCAGGCAAGGCTGAAATGCTCTCCTATTATGGAGCAGTTCAATTTTAAATGGCCAGACTCCTTAGACTGCAGCAAACTGCCCAACAAGAACGACCCCAATTACCTGTGCATGGAAGCCCCCAACAACGGGTCGGACGAGCCGCCCAGAGGGTCCAGCATGCTGCCACCCATGTTTCGTCCACAGAGGCCCAGCAGTGGCCACGATCTGCAGCAGCATAAGGACAGCCTCAGCAGAACCTCCTGTGAAAATCCTGGCAAGTTCCACCATGTGGAAAAGAGTGCTTCCTGTGCACCGCTCTGCACTCCAGGGGTTGATGTTTACTGGAGCAAGGATGACAAACAATTTGCTGTCATTTGGATTGCCATCTGGTCCGTTCTGTGCTTCTTCTCCAGCGCTTTTACTGTACTCACTTTTCTGATAGATCCTCAGCGTTTCAAGTACCCCGAGAGGCCCATTATCTTCCTCTCAATGTGCTACTGTGTCTACTCAGTGGGGTACATTATTCGCCTCTTTTCAGGTGCTGAAAGTATTGCCTGTGATAGGGACAGCGGCCAACTCTATGTCATCCAGGAAGGACTGGAGAGCACTGGCTGCACCATTGTGTTCCTGGTTCTGTATTACTTTGGTATGGCAAGTTCCTTGTGGTGGGTAATCCTGACTTTAACTTGGTTTCTAGCAGCTGGGAAAAAATGGGGGCATGAAGCAATTGAAGCAAACAGTAGCTACTTCCATTTGGCGGCATGGGCCATTCCAGCTGTGAAGACCATAATGATCCTAGTTATGAGAAGGGTGGCTGGAGATGAGCTGACAGGGTTGTGCTATGTTGGAAGCATGGATGTGAATGCCTTGACGGGGTTTGTACTCATTCCTTTGGCTTGTTATCTAATCATTGGCACTTCTTTTATTCTTTCTGGTTTTGTGGCCCTTTTTCATATCAGGAGGGTGATGAAAACAGGTGGAGAAAATACTGACAAGTTGGAGAAACTTATGGTCAGGATTGGTGTCTTCTCAGTCTTGTATACAGTGCCTGCAACTTGTGTGATAGCTTGCTATTTTTATGAAAGACTTAATATGGATTATTGGAAAATTGTGGCAACTCAACAGAAATGCAAGATGAACAATCAGACTAAAAATTTAGACTGCATGATGAATAACTCTATTCCAGCAGTAGAAATTTTTATGGTCAAAATTTTTATGCTGTTGGTTGTGGGCATTACTAGTGGTATGTGGATCTGGACTTCCAAGACCCTTCAGTCCTGGCAAAATGTTTGTAGTCGAAGATTAAAGAAGAGAAGTAGGAGAAAACCTGCAAGTGTTATTACAAGTAGTGGAATCTACAAAAAACCTCAACATCCACAGAAAACTCACCTTGCAAAATATGAATCGACATTACAGCCACCCACTTGTGTGTGACCAGATTTTAGAAAAGACTGTCTCTCACCTTACAGACTTACACATGTCCACAGTAGCAGTCAGAAATTAAAAAATAGTGCTTTTTTTTTTTTTTTTTTTTTGTCAGAGAACAGTTTAATATCTCAAGGCAAAAAAAAGTATCACGTTGAATTCGGGACCTGGTGAAAAACTGAAGGTAAATGTACTTATGGAAAGGTTTTCAGTGAAAGAAATATTGTGAATTAAAACGGTCTCTTCTGTTACTAATCTGTAGCTAAGTACTTCATCCAGCCCTCAGAATTTCTTTTTTTCTTTTTTTTTAAAAATCCACCCTATTTAACTTCTTCATGTAGCTGAGCTGGATTTCCTACAAGTTTCTGAGTAACAAGGTGTACTCAAGTTTTATGGAGCAGTCATTTGATTTTAAAAGTGCCCAAGTGAGCGTTGCCTCTTTAGGGAAACTAAGATCCTATCCTCAGTAAGTGTGCTATCTGTGAAAGCAACTTCCGTGCTAACTTTAAAAAAAAAAGAGATAAATCCTTTACAACTCATCTCAGCCTAGTGGGTTTGGAGTGCCTAAAAATAGGTTCAATCTATAATGCTCACCAATATTCTTTCACTAAAAGAGAAACTTCCTGCACCAGACACAAACTTTGTGAATAAGAATAATGTGCAATACATTTTTTTTCTTACCATGACATGAAAAGAGAAACAAGTATTTTGCTGTACATAAAGACAACAAAAGAAATCTCTTAACAAAAGAACTAAGAGGTCTAGTCCTCAGAAACCCTTTAGTGTTACACTTTGTGGCTTTTTAATGGAAATCAAGCCAATGTTATACACGTTTGGACTGATTTGTGCAAAAAAAAAAGGGGGGGGATCAATTCAAAGAGACCCAAAGGGCTTATTGACTCTTTCTATTGTTAAACAAATTCTCACTATGAATAGATCAAGAAGCACTAGATTCTGCAAAGGGAAGCTTTGTATAGAGTGATGCTCTTTACTGTGCTGGGGGTGCACAGTTTTGTGCTGTATATATTTGTAATATACAATTATTTTTCATGCTCCACTATTTTATTAAAAATAAAATATGTTCTTTAGTTTGATAATTTTGTGTGTTCTAAACTTTCTCTGATGTGCTTTGTGGTTAATAAACTTGTTTTCTCAAAGATTTGATAAAAGCACACTTTGAATATAATAGTTGTTGTTATACTTGCCTGCAAGTATAAGCAGATAGAACCGTAATTTACTCAAAACAAATTGCAAGTTGGACTTAAATAAATGGATTTTGAAGTTGCATCTTTCTGTGAACCCCTGCAACTGAGAAAGCTGAATGGGAAGAAGCTTTAGTGATGTAAAAAAGCTGCAGTGATGTAGAGTAGTACGGTGTTTACAAAGCACTGAGATTACAACAATGATCCTTGGTTAACACCCCTTTAAAATTTGCATAGGGTATGTTCAGCATGTTAAAGATAGCTGGCTCACTTCAGCACCGTTTGAATACAATTCAGTCTCTACTCTTCAGGGATTGGTTTTTTCCCTTCTAGCACTACTGAAAATATCACTGTTATTTGGGAAAAGACTTTGGGAAGGTTGGGAGAAAGAAGAGGGGGAAATATAAATACAGACTTTGAATACTACTGTAGGAAAGCTATCTGATAAAACTGTAAATACATTTTCAAAAAGTTTTTAGTGGAGCATGACTTTGTATTAACCTGAAGTTTTCCATGCAGTTGACTAACAGGCTGTGTGACCACCTGGAGCGATACTAATATAACCTCACTTTCTCACACAGGCTGTTCTAGAAAAGCCTTTATCAGGTATCTTGTAGACAGAAGAGAGAGGTCGTAATGAACTTTGGTAGAGTGAGGATCCCCATGACAGTCATCCTGTGGCTAGGAGTTTTGTAACAAAAGGTTTTTCAATTTATCTGTGCAGTGCTACAGATGAAATTTTGTCGTCTTTAAATGTTTCTAGCAATGACTAGGAACTTGAATGACAAAAATGATGATGCAGGTATTATTAATAATCAAACCTAGTGGGTCTAAAATGCAGATACGCAAAGCAGCTTTCAATATAAAATTTCTCTTTCAGGGGAAGAGGAAATACATTTTTCATCCTTTATGCCTATGTGCTGCTGTTTAATACACAGCTTTTGGATGCCCTGGAAATTAATCCTGCTGGAGCCGAAGTAGGACATTGCACTAAACAAATCCACTTCTGAAACTACTGAATTAACGCCTTTGCATCTGTGTATGTTCTAGTTAAGATCAATTACATTAGATCCCAAGAAATACAAAGTTTTTAAATAATCTGTGTATGACAAATTGCTACAGCAATCCTTCAAATATGTGTTCTGTTATTATAGGATCATAGAATGGTTTGGGTTGGAAGGGACCTTAAAGATCATAGAATCAGTTAGGTTGGAAAAGACCTGTAAGATCATCTAGTTCCAAGCCCCTGCCATGAGCAGGGACACCTTCCACTAGGCCAGGTTGCTCAGATTATGTGTGCCACCTTACCAGTACCGTATCTGCTTCACACGATTTTCATCTCTGACATGAAGGTTAGTGCTGGTTTTACTAGACACAGATTTGTTTACTGAACGATTTCAGGCTTCACTCTGAAACACATTAGCCACTGAAATAAACATCTCGCTGGTTTTGTAGACTATAGAAAATTATTTGCTTTCATTGTTGATCATGTATTTTTACAGTCTGCTACTAGGATTCTGGAAGAGAAAAATAATGAAGAAAGAATTTCAGCAGTGGC